AAACACACGAGTGAAAGCCAGCTATTAATGAAGGTTTTTAATGAAGCAATATAGAAATTTTGAGTCGAATGAAGTCTAGTAGACATCGAAAATGATTTTTATGCAAGTCATGACGTCATTTTGGTCATTTCATTTTTCATTGTTATTGGCAGGTGAATGGTCAGGTCGTATAGACTGCATAATTTTTCACATGATTTATATATGGGCTGCTGTTTGTTTTAATTTTTCGTCTATTTATTTAAATTTCTGTTTGCACTCTGCGCCCTTTCATTTCTTAATCTCTACCAAAGTTAGCGTTTCTTTTGTTTCAACACAAAATATTCACTGTGTTTAATAGGGTAGTCAGTCCACTTTTTTGTCGCTCTGTAAATTTAAATTTTTATATGAACAACGTACGATCCGACTACGTTGCATGTTAAAGTAGACCATCGGGATCATTGAAAACAACAAAAATATGAAACATTTTAAAACAAAAAAAATTTGAGGAAATTTTTCTAAATTTTTGATCTTTTTTTTATTGGAGGGTTTTTTTACCAGATCCACCGGTTTTCCATCACATTTCGTTTTGTTTTGAAAAAACAGTGTCCACATTTGGGGCCAAGCGAAGCCATTTGTCATAACATCATTTATCGTAGTTATCATTAATATTCACGTTTCTTTTTCATTTCTTGGCGTTTGGGCTCATCCCAAAACACTGCAATTTAACAAAATAGGTACGCTATGCGTACCTATTGATACCCTGCAAGTATACAGCTTCTGAATGAAGTAGATAGTTAAAATGAAATTATATATTATTTACGTGAAACTTACTGCGGAATGAAAGAAAAGAAGTTTGGTTAGACTAGGAAACTTTTGGATCATTTCGTTTTTATACAGTTACTCTATTGTACATCTCATCTCAGTCATTTCAAACTCATAATACAATATACCTTATGTTTCCTCACATGTATTTAAGGCAGAAAAATATGAATTATTAAAATTTGGTGTTCATAAATATAATCATACTCAATAAAATCATCTTGTTATTGATATTCTAAAGCAGGATATGATGTGAATGTAAGATGAAGAGAATGATAAAAATATGATGATAATATTTCTCATGAATTATGATAGTTTTAGGATAAAATTACCAGCCGTAAAAAAAACTTTCCTACAACAACTCTTTTTAATCATCTGCACTGGAATTTGAGCCCCTACGCTCTTTTAAATAAATTTCGTCAAAACCAAATCATGAAAGTTCTCCATGTTTCATTAAGTACATGATACATCTACATTTACGAAAAGTCTGCATAAAAAGCCTCGACGTAAAAATCCTTTGGCATTGTAATCAATGCTGAAATTTTAAAAACGATTTGATAAATCATTAAGTTGTTTTGAGGTTAATATATGCAAAGTATCATCGCATTAATTAAAAAGAAACTTAGAATCCCCGGTTTTCTCATCAATCTAATAGCTTCATCAATACAGACAATAAACGTATATAGGACATCAGATGATACAATAATGAAAACACAAGCTGCATCAGTTCTTTTTTGCTAAAGTGGTTGCTTGCCTGCGAGTCAAAAACAGGATATAATTTTACAAATGACTTTGGAAAACTTCTATAATTGTGTTGATTCAAACTAAAGCTTGATTCATAGTGTCCACTGAATGGCAGCTCTTTTTTAGACAAACATTTACCTTATTTTCTTATTATGCCTTTATCCTCATCATGTCGTGTCTCCTTTTGTTCTTGAAAATAAAACTTCAACACACTAGTAAAAATCCCTGTTCATCAAGTTCAACATTTTATAAACTTGAGAAACAAAATTTCATTTTATATTTCCTGAAACCGTCAGAAAATGATCCTTGTTAATACATTTGATGTTTGTCCAAGTTTTTGATTTGAACGAAATAGCAAGAAGTATAACCATGCAGTTAACTACTGATTTTTATCCTTACAAACACACATGTAAACAATCTTTCCTTCCTTATCAAGATGATCAGAATCTCCTGCCTCTCATTTCAAGTCTTAGAGTGCAAATTTCATGGCTTGCGACATTCTGCTTTTTAGCATTTTGTGCAACGGAAAAGCCTTTGTAAAAGCTGAGAATTAATTAATATATCTTGCTCTTTTATCTGCAGATTAGAGGTGCAAATGTATTTTTAAATGCAATATAACTGTAGCTAAAACGATGAAAACTTTGAGAGTATTTAAAATAGTTGCCCTAAAAAATATGAGCACCCTCAAAAGAAAAAATTCAGCGGCTGATTTATAAATGATCCCACACCCCACATCCAGAAAAAAGGCATTATTTCATCAGCATTTATCAAAAACTTACAATGCAAGTAAATTTCATTGAAATCAGTTCATTGACTACCTTAACTTTTACTTGATATTAGTAGTTCATGGTCTTAAAATTGATAGAGAATTTTAACCTTTAAACTGTCAATCTTCGTAGCCATAAAAAACACGATTGGGTGCTATCCAAATCATCTATAATTTGTTACAAATGGTTGCAAAACAAAAAAATTTCAAAAGTCATATTCCAGCAGGTGCATTAGACTATAGAATGCATTAATATCAACCTTAGTCTATTGAAGAAAAGGCTATTACAAAATTTTAATCAATCCTTAAAAAGAGTAGCTATATTTGCTGTTCATGACGATAAAAAATGTGAACAATCCTGTTAATATCGTGTTGTTTTTAAAGTTTGTGGCATTTGTTTATATTAATCCTCTAGGAGCCAGGCCTTTTTAAAAGTTCGTACACGTCTCGTTTGGTGATTTTGCCTGTGAGCAACAACGGTCTCTAGAGGGTTAAGGCTGCTTTAATTGACAAGAGCTGTAGCATGTATCCTGTTATATAATAGTTACCTATGTTCATTTGCATTTATAGCATGATGCAGGCAAAGTTGAATAAATAAATAATTAACTAAATAAATGTATGTATGAGAGAATATATTTGATTTCATCACATGTGAAAAATTCTCGACTTTCATGATAACTAACACATTTATCTTCTACATTAAATTTTTAAAATTGCTTGATTTTACTTGTCTTGTTGATACAACAAATTTTTTAGATGGAATCAAAAGAAAACAGAAATCTATTTTACATCAAAAGAGTAATCAATGTGGTACAAACGGAACTTGCTCAATTTTTCATCAAAGAATGGAACTCTCGTTACAAATCAATACATGGAGAATGGGATAATACATACAACAGTGGAAAAAAAATTTACACTTTAGAATCGGGTAGGAAGTTGGATAAAAAACTACAGTTAAAATATCAAGATGGAGACACAAGTAAATGGGACTGCACAACATTATTCGATGTTATACTTTTTTCAAAATCGATTGGCAGACATCTTGACAAAAAAACAAAGAATGCTGTTGATGCTCTTCGTAATGAAAGAAACAAGTACGCACATTGGTATAAAAGCGAATGCTCAGATGATGATTTTGATGATATAGTCATTGTGATTGAAAAATCATTTCACGATTTGAAATTTTCCCTTGATGGAATCAATGAAATAAAAAATCATCGAAACTGTTTTAATTCATTTCAAGTTCTTCCTTCAAAATCTAGTCATTTTTTCGTTGAACGCACTGAATTACGAGATAAAATTATAACAGATCTTGAAAAATTAAGAAATGATAACAATGATAAACTGACATATTTTTACATCAGTGGTAATCCAGGCAGTGGTAAATCACAACTTGCAAGACAGGTTTGTGAAAAAATATCGTTTGATTGGAAAAATAGAACCTCATTTGTAATGACTATCGATGGAAAAAATGAAGAATCTCTTTTAAAAAATTACTGTGAACTTGGATACCGTTTAAACTGTGACAAGTATATGATTAAAAAATTTGAAGATGAAAATTGTTCTATCACAGACAAAGTGAGGAATTTGCAATCGTTGGTATCCACACGATTGAAATTCTGGCAAATTTGGTTGATCATTGTAGACAACGTGCTACAGCTCAACAAAATTTCTTCGTTACTTCCCCAAGTTGGTGATCCCATGTGGATAAAGGGACAAATCATAGTAACCATCCAGAACACAGATGCCGTACCTCAAGACGATGAGTTTAACAAACATATTTCTATCAGAAGTGGAATGAATGATAAGGAATGTTTTCAACTGTTGAGGCATTACACTATTGAACATGCTGATGATCAATTGTTGAATGAAGTATCGCACGCATTAGATCGTCAACCGCTGGCTTTGGCTGCTGCTGGTTATTATGTCAGTCGTGTAAACAAAGCAAACTGCTCATTTACTTGGAAACAATATTTAAAGAAAATATCTTCAGAAGAAGAAAAAAACATGGACGCCACTTTTGTTAAATTTAACTCGGTATATCCTAGAAGTATGTTACAAGCTTCACTTTTAGCTGTCAGACAGAATGCTGAAGAATCCTCAATATTGGCAAATGTTATTAACTTTTTTTCGGTGATATCGTTTGATCCTATACCACGAGACATTATTGTTTTTTATGTTCAAGAAATTGATCCCAAACACACAAAGGAAGCTATATGTCTTTGTTTAAATGACTGCTCATTGTTCTTGCATTCAGAAAATAATGACATTAGTCTACATCGTATTGTTCACAAAGCAATTATTGTTTATCAATCTGAACATTCAAATGAAGAACATAAAATGGGAAGTAACGTTGATCAAATATCTAAAGCACTTTACATGTTTAAAGAGAGAGACGACGAAATCAAATTAATGCCACATCTTGAAACAATTGTTCAATTATTAAAGACCAACAAGACAAAAATCAACAAGAACACTTTACATGTTTTCCAATATTTTGTTGACAGATTAAGATATTTTGGAAAATACGATCTTGCTCTTGAACTATTGGATAAATTTAAATCAAAAGCCTCTAGTCATGACAAAGCTTGGTATCTTAATTTCCTCGGAATTTTATACGATTGCACGGGGGAGCATAGCAAAGCTAAAACTTATCTAAAAAAGGCTCTGAAAATTCGCAAACGTTCGTTAGGTCGAAATCATGTTAATGTCGCTTCATCTTTAAACAATCTTGGTATTGTACTTAATATAATTGGAAACTACGACAAAGCTCTAGAGGTTCACGAAAAAGCTCTGGAAATTAAAAAAAAATCGTTAGGTGCAACTCATGTTGAAGTTGCTGTGTCTTTATACAATCTTGGTAATGTGTATTTTAAAACTAGAAACTACGAGAAAGCTATAGACTTTCACGAAAGAGCTCTGGAAATTCAAAAACGATCGTTAGGTCCAACTCATGTTGATGTCGCTTCGTCTTTAAACAGTCTTGGTGTGGTGTTACAAAAAACTGGAAACTACAACAAAGCTATAGAGTTTTACGAAAAGCTCTGGAAATTCGAAAACAATCGTTAGGTCCATATCATGTTGATGTCGCTGCGTCTTTAAACAATCTTGGTGCGGTGTTTCATAAAACTGGAAACTACAACAAAGCTATAGAGTGTCACGAAAAAGCTCTGGAAATTCGAAAACAATCGTTAGGTCCAAATCATGTTGATGTCGCTTCGTCTTTATACAATCTTGGTTTGGTGTTTGAAAAAACTGGAAATTACGAAAAAGCTATAGAGTTTTACGAAAAAGGACTGGAAATTCGAAAACAATCGTTAGGTCCAAATCATGTTGATGTCGCCGCGTCTTTACAATCTTGGTTTGGTGTTTGAAAAAACTGGAAATTACGAAAAAGCTATAGAGTTTTACGAAAAGCTCTGGAAATTCGAAAACAATCATTAGGTCCAAATCATGCTGATGTCGCTGCGTCTTTAAACAATCTTGGTTTGGTGTTTGATAAAACTGGAAATTACGACAAAGCTATAGAGTTTTACGAAAAGCTCTGGAAATTCAAAACAATCGTTAGGTCCAAATCATGTTGATGTCGCTGTCTTTAAACAATCTTGGTTGGTGTTTGAAAAACGACAAAGCTATAGAGTTTTACGAAAAGCTCTGGAAATTCGAAAACAATCGTTAGGTCCAAATCATGTTGATGTCGCTGCGTCTTTAAACAATCTTGGTGCGGTGTTTCATAAAACTGGAAACTACGACAAAGCTATAGAGTTTCACGAAAAAGCTCTGGAAATTCGAAAACAATCGTTAGGTCCAAATCATGTTGATGTCGCTGCGTCTTTATACAATCTTGGTTTGGTGTTTGAAAAACTGGAAACTACGACAAAGCGATAGAGTTTTATGAAAAATCTCTGGAAATTCAAAAACAATCGTTAGGTCCAAATCATGTTAATGTCGCTAGGTCTTTAAACAATCTTGGTTTGGTGTTTTATGAAAGTGGAAACTACGGCAAAGCTATAGAGTTTTACGAAAAAGCTCTGGAAATTCAAAAGCAATCGTTAGGTCCAAATCATGTTAATGTTGCTACGTCTTTAAACAATCTTGGTACGGTGTTTCATAAAACTGAAAACTACGACAAAGCTATAGAGCTTTATGAAAAAGCTCTGGAAATTCAAAAACAATCGTTAGGTCCAAATCATGTTGATGTCGCTGCGTCTTTAAACAATCTTGGTTTGGTGTTTGATAAACTGGAAACTACGACAAAGCTATAGAGTTCACGAAAAGCTCTGGAAATTCGAAAACAATCGTTAGGTCCAAATCATGTTGATGTCGCTGCGTCTTTAAACAATCTTGGTTTGGTGTTTGAAAAACTGGAAACTACGACAAAGCTATAGAGTTTTACGAAAAGCTCTGGAAATTCAAAACAATCGTTAGGTCCAAATCATGTTGATGTCGCTGATTCTTTAAACAATCTTGGTTTGGTGTTTTATGAAACTGGAAACTACGACAAAGCTATAGAGTTTTGCGAAAAGCTCTGGAAATTCAAAACAATCGTTAGGTACAAATCATGTTGATGTCGCTACGTCTTTAAACAATCTTGGTTTGGTGTTTTATGAAACTGGAAACTACGACAAAGCTATAGAGCTTTACGAAAAAGCTCTGGAAATTCAAAAACAATCGTTAGGTCCAAATCATGTTGATGTCGCTGATTCTTTAAACAATCTTGGTTTGGTGTTTGTGAAACTGGAAACTACAACAAAGCTATAGAGGTTGACGAAAAGGCTCTGGAAATTCGAAAACAATCGTTAGGTCCAAATCATGTTGATGTCGCTAGGTCTTTATACAATCTTGGTAGTGTGTATCATAATACTGGAAACTACGACAAAGCTATAGAGTTTTACGAAAAGCTCTGGAAATTCAAAACAATCGTTAGGTCCAAATCATGTTGATGTCGCTGCGCTTTAAACAATCTTGGTAATGTGTTTCATAATACTGGAAAGTACGACAAAGCTATAGAGTTTTACGAAAAGCTCTGGAAATTCGAAAACAATCGTTAGGTCCAAATCATGTTGATGTCGCTGCGTCTTTAAACAATCTTGGTACTGTGTATTGTAAAAGTGGAAACTACGACAAAGCTATAGAGGTTCACGAAAAAGCTCTAGAACTTCAAAAACAATCGTTAGGTCCAAATCATGTTGATGTCGCTGCGTCTTTAAACAATCTTGGTTTGGTGTTTGAAAAACTGGAAACTACGACAAAGCTATAGAGTTTTACGAAAAGCTCTGGAAATTCGAAAACAATCGTTAGGTCCAAATCATGTTGATGTCGCTGCGTCTTTAAACAATCTTGGTTTGGTGTTTGAAAAAACTGGAAACTACGACAAAGCTATAGAGTTTTTCGAAAAAGCTCTGGAAATTAAAAAACAATCGTTAGGTCCAAATCATGTTGATGTCGCTGCGTCTTTAAACAATCTTGGTTTGGTAAAACTGGAAATTACGACAAAGCTATAGAGTTTTACGAAAAGCTCTGGAAATTCAAAACAATCGTTAGGTCCAAATCATGTTGATGTCGCTGCGTCTTTAAACAATCTTGGTTTGGTGTTTGAAAAACTGGAAACTACGACAAAGCTATAGAGTTTTACGAAAAGCTCTGGAAATTCAAAACAATCGTTAGGTCCAAATCATGTTGATGTCGCTGCGTCTTTAAACAATCTTGGTTTGGTGTTTGATAAAACTGGAAACTACGACAAAGCTATAGAGTTTTACGAAAAGCTCTGGAAATTCGAAAACAATCGTTAGGTCCAAATCATGTTGATGTCGCTGCGTCTTTACACAATCTTGGTTTGGTGTTTGATAAAACTGGAAATTACGACAAAGCTATAGAGTTTTACGAAAAAGCTCTGGAAATTCAAAAACAATCGTTAGGTCCAAATCATGTTGATGTCGCTGCGTCTTTAAACAATCTTGGTATTGTGTTTGATAAAACTGTAAAGTACGACAAAGCTATAGAGGTTCACGAAAAGGCTCTGGAAATTCGAAAACAATCGTTAGGTCCAAATCATGTTGATGTCGCTGCGTCTTTACACAATCTTGGTTTGGTGTTTGATAAAACTGGAAATTACGACAAAGCTATAGAGTTTTACGAAAAAGCTCTGGAAATTCAAAACAATCGTTAGGTCCAAATCATGTTGATGTCGCTGCGTCTTTAAACAATCTTGGTATTGTGTTTGAAAAACTGGAAACTACGACAAAGCTATAGAGGTTCACGAAAAGGCTCTGGAAATTCGAAAACAATCGTTAGGTCCAAATCATGTTGATGTCGCTGCGTCTTTAAACAATCTTGGTTTGGTGTTTAAAAACTGGAAACTACAACAAAGCTATAGAGTTCACGAAAAGGCTCTGGAAATTCGAAAACAATCATTAGGTCCAAATCATGTTGATGTCGCTGCGTCTTTAAACAATCTTGGTTTGGTGTTTGAAAAAACTGGAAATTACGAAAAAGCTATAGAGTTTTACGAAAAAGCTCTGGAAATTCGAAAACAATCGTTAGGTCCAAATCATGTTGATGTCGCTGCGTCTTTAACAATCTTGGTTTGGTGTTTGAAAAACTGGAAATTACGAAAAGCTATAGAGTTTTACGAAAAGGCTCTGGAAATTCGAAAACAATCGTTAGGTCCAAATCATGTTGATGTCGCTGCGTCTTTAAACAATCTTGGTTTGGTGTTTGAAAAACTGGAAATTACGACAAAGCTATAGAGTTTTACGAAAAAGCTCTGGAAATTCAAAACAATCGTTAGGTCCAAATCATGTTGATGTCGCTGATTCTTTATACAATCTTGGTTTGGTGTTTTATGAAACTGGAAACTACAACAAAGCTATAGAGTTTTACGAAAAGCTCTGGAAATTCAAAACAATCGTTAGGTCCAAATCATGTTGATGTCGCTGCGTCTTTAAACAATCTTGGTTTGGTGTTTTATGAAACTGGAAACTAAGACAAAGCTATAGAGTTTTGCGAAAAAGCTTTGGAAATTCAAAACAATCGTTAGGTCCAAATCATGTTGATGTCGCTGATTCTTTATACAATCTTGGTTTGGTGTTTTGTGAAACTGGAAACTACGACAAAGCTATAGAGGTTGACGAAAAGCTCTGGAAATTCGAAAACAATCGTTAGGTCCAAATCATGTTGATGTTGCTAGGTCTTTATACAATCTTGGTAGTGTATCATAATACTGGAAACTACGACAAAGCTATAGAGTTTTACGAAAAAGCTCTGGAAATTCAAAACAATCGTTAGGTCCAAATCATGTTGATTGCGAGCGCTTTACACAATCTTGGTAATGTGTATCATAATACTGGAAAGTACGACAAAGCTATAGAGTTTTACGAAAAGCTCTGGAAATTCGAAAACAATCGTTAGGTCCAAATCATGTTGATGTCGCTGCGTCTTTAAACAATCTTGGTACTGCGTATTATAAAACTGAAAATTACGACAAAGCTATAGAGGTTCATGAAAAAGCTCTGGAAATTCGAAAACAATCGTTAGGTCCAAATCATGTTGATGTCGCTGCGTCTTTACACAATCTTGGTTTGGTGTTTGATAAAACTGGAAATTACGACAAAGCTATAGAGTTTTACGAAAAAGCTCTGGAAATTCAAAAACAATCGTTAGGTCCAAATCATGTTCATGTCGCTGCGACTTTAAACAATCTTGGTATTGTGTTTGAAAAACTGAAAAGTACGACAAAGCTATAGAGGTTCACGAAAAGGCTCTGGAAATTCGAAAACAATCGTTAGGTCCAAATCATGTTGATGTCGCTGAGTCTTTAAACAATCTTGGTTTGGTGTTTACTAAAACTGGAAACTACGACAAAGCTATAGAGGTTCACGAAAAAGCTCTGGAAATTCGAAAACAATCGTTAGGTCCAAATCATGTTGATGTCGCTGCGTCTTTACACAATCTTGGTTTGGTGTTTGAAAAACTGGAAATTACGAAAAGCTATAGAGTTTTACGAAAAGCTCTGGAAATTCGAAAACAATCGTTAGGTCCAAATCATGTTGATGTCGCTGCGTCTTTAACAATCTTGGTTTGGTGTTTGAAAAACTGGAAATTACGAAAAGCTATAGAGTTTTCGAAAAGGCTCTGGAAATTCGAAAACAATCGTTAGGTCCAAATCATGTTGATGTCGCTGCGTCTTTACACAATCTTGGTTTGGTGTTTGATAAAACTGGAAATTACGACAAAGCTATAGAGTTTTTCGAAAAGCTCTGGAAATTCAAAACAATCGTTAGGTCCAAATCATGTTGATGTCGCTTCGTCTTTAAACAGTTTTGGTGTGGTGTTACAAAAAACTGGAAACTACAACAAAGCTATAGAGTTTTACGAAAAAGCTCTGGAAATTCGAAAACAATCGTTAGGTCCAAATCATGTTGATGTCGCTGCGTCTTTAAACAATCTTGGTGCGGTGTTTCATAAAACTGGAAACTACAACAAAGCTATAGAGTGTCACGAAAAAGCTCTGGAAATTCGAAAACAATTGTTTGGTCCAAATCATGTTGATGTCGCTTCGTCTTTATACAATCTTGGTTTGGTGTTTGAAAAAACTGGAAACTACAATAGAGCTATAGAGGTTCACGAAAAGGCTCTGGAAATTCAAAACAATCGTTAGGTCCAAATCATGCTAATGTCGCTGCGTCTTTAAACAATCTTGGTTTGGTGTTTTATGAAACTGGAAACTAAGACGAAGCTATAGAGTTTTGCGAAAAGCTTTGGAAATTCAAAACAATCGTTAGGTCCAAATCATGTTGATGTCGCTACGTCTTTAAACAATCTTGGTGTGGTGTTTTATGAAACTGGAAACTACGACAAAGCTATAGAGTTTTATGAAAAGCTCTGGAAATTCAAAACAATCGTTAGGTCCAAATCATGTTGATGTTGCTCGGTCTTTAAACAATCTTGGTGCGGTGTTATATGAAACTGGAAACTACGACAAAGCTATAGAGTTTTGCGAAAAGCTTTGGAAATTCAAAAACAATCGTTAGGTCCAAATCATGTTGATGTCGCTGATTCTTTATACAATCTTGGTTTGGTGTTTTGTGAAACTGGAAACTACAACAAAGCTATAGAGGTTGACGAAAGGGCTCTGGAAATTGAAAACAATCGTTAGGTTCAAATCATGTTGATGTTGCTAGGTCGTTATACAATCTTGGTAGTGTGTATCATAATACTGGAAACTACGACAAAGCTATAGAGTTTTACGAAAAAGCTCTGGAAATTCAAAAACAAACGTTAGGTTCAAATCATGTTGTTGTTGCGAGCGCTTTACACAATCTTGGTAATGTGTATCATAATACTGGAAAGTACGACAAAGCTATAGAGTTTTACGAAAAAGCTCTGGAAATTCAAAAACAATCGTTAGGTCCAAATCATGTTCATGTCGCTGCGACTTTAAACAATCTTGGTATTGTGCTTGAAAAAACTGAAAAGTACGACAAAGCTATAGAGGTTCACGAAAAGGCTCTGGAAATTCGAAAACAATCGTTCGGTCCAAATCATGTTGATGTCGCTGCGTCTTTACACAATCTTGGTTTGGTGTTTAAAAAAACTGGAAACTACAATAAAGCTATAGAGGTTCACGAAAAGGCTCTGGAAATTCGAAAACAATCATTAGGTCCAAATCATGTTGATGTCGCTGCGTCTTTACACAATCTTGGTTTGGTGTTTGAAAAAACTGGAAATTACGAAAAAGCTATAGAGTTTTACGAAAAAGGACTGGAAATTCGAAAACAATCGTTAGGTCCAAATCATGCTAATGTCGCCGCGTCTTTTTACAATCTTGGTTTGGTGTTTGAAAAAACTGGAAATTACGAAAAAGCTATAGAGTTTTTCGAAAAAGGACTGGAAATTCGAAAACAATCATTAGGTCCAAATCATGCTAATGTCGCTGCGTCTTTACACAATCTTGGTTTGGTGTTTGATAAAACTGGAAATTACGACAAAGCTATAGAGTTTTTCGAAAGAGCTCTGGAAATTCAAAAACAATCGTTAGGTCCAACTCATGTTGATGTCGCTTCGTCTTTAAACAGTTTTGGTGTGGTGTTACAAAAAACTGGAAACTACAACAAAGCTATAGAGTTTTACGAAAAGCTCTGGAAATTCGAAAACAATCGTTAGGTCCATATCATGTTGATGTCGCTGCGTCTTTAAACAATCTTGGTGCGGTGTTTCATAAAACTGGAAACTACAACAAAGCTATAGAGTGTCACGAAAAAGCTCTGGAAATTCGAAAACAATTGTTTGGTCCAAATCATGTTGATGTCGCTTCGTCTTTATACAATCTTGGTTTGGTGTTTGAAAAAACTGGAAAATACAATAGAGCTATAGAGGTTCACGAAAAGGCTCTGGAAATTCAAAAACAATCGTTAGGTCCAAATCATGCTAATGTCGCTGCGTCTTTAAACAATCTTGGTTTGGTGTTTTATGAAACTGGAAACTACGACTAAGCTATAGAGTTTTGCGAAAAAGCTTTGGAAATTCAAAAACAATCGTTAGGTCCAAATCATGTTGATGTCGCTACGTCTTTAAACAATCTTGGTGTGGTGTTTTATAAAAGTGGAAACTACGACAAAGCTATAGAGTTTTATGAAAAGCTCTGGAAATTCAAAACAATCGTTAGGTCCAAATCATGTTGATGTTGCTCGGTCTTTAAACAGTCTTGGTGCGGTGTTATATGAAACTGGAAACTAAGACGAAGCTATAGAGTTTTACGAAAAAGCTGTGGAAATTCAAAAACAATCGTTAGGTCCAAATCACGTTGATGTCGCTGATTCTTTATACTATCTTGGTTTGGTGTTTTGTGAAACTGGAAACTACAACAAAGCTATAGAGGTTGACGAAAGGGCTCTGGAAATTCGAAAACAATCGTTAGGTTCAACTCATGTTGATGTTGCTAGGTCGTTATACAATCTTGGTAGTGTGTATCATAATACTGGAAACTACGACAAAGCTATAGAGTTTTACGAAAAAGCTCTGGAAATTCAAAAACAAACGTTAGGTTCAAATCATGTTGTTGTTGCGAGCGCTTTACACAATCTTGGTAATGTGTATCATAATACTGGAAAGTACGACAAAGCTATAGAGTTTTACGAAAAAGGACTGGAAATTCGAAAACAATCGTTAGGTCCAAATCATGCTGATGTCGCTGCTCTTTAAACAATCTTGGTACTGCGTATTATAAAACTGAAAATTACGACAAAGCTATAGAGGTTCATGAAAAAGCTCTGGAAATTCGAAAACAATCGTTAGGTCCAAATCATGTTAATGTCGCTGCGTCTTTACACAATCTTGGTTTGGTGTTTGATAAAACTGGAAATTACGACAAAGCTATAGAGTTTTACGAAAAGCTCTGGAAATTCAAAAACAATCGTTAGGTCCAAATCATGTTCATGTCGCTGCGACTTTAAACAATCTTGGTATTGTGCTTGAAAAAACTGAAAAGTACGACAAAGCTATAGAGGTTCACAAAAAGGCTCTGGAAATTCGAAAACAATCGTTCGGTCCAAATCATGTTGATGTCGCTGCGTCTTTACACAATCTTGGTTTGGTGTTTGATAAAACTGGAAATTACGACAAAGCTATAGAGTTTTACGAAAAGCTCTGGAAATTCAAAAACAATCGTTAGGTCCAAATCATGTTGATGTCGCTGATTCTTTATACTATCTTGGTTTGGTGTTTTATGAAACTGGAAATTACGACAAAGCTATAGAGTTTTACGAAAAAGCTCTGGAAATTCAAAAACAATCGTTAGGTCCAAATCATGTTGATGTCGCTGCGTCTTTACACAATCTTGGTTTGGTGTTTGATAAAACTGGAAATTACGACAAAGCTATAGAGTTTTACGAAAAGCTCTGGAAATTCAAAAACAATCGTTAGGTCCAAATCATGTTGATGTCGCTGCGACTTTAAACAATCTTGGTATTGTGCTTGAAAAAACTGAAAAGTACGACAAAGCTATAGAGGTTCACGAAAAGGCTCTGGAAATTCGAAAACAATCGTTAGGTCCAAATCATGTTCATGTCGCTGCGTCTTTACACAATCTTGGTTTGGTGTTTAAAAAAACTGGAAACTACAATAAAGCTATAGAGGTTCACGAAAAGTCTCTGGAAATTCGAAAACAATCATTAGGTCCAAATCATGTTGATGTCGCTGCGTCTTTACACAATCTTGGTTTGGTGTTTGAAAAACTGGAAATTACGAAAAGCTATAGAGTTTTACGAAAAGGACTGGAAATTCGAAAACAATCGTTAGGTCCAAATCATGCTAATGTCGCCGCGTCTTTTTACAATCTTGGTTTGGTGTTTGAAAAAACTGGAAATTACGAAAAAGCTATAGAGTTTTACGAAAAAGGACTGGAAATTCGAAAACAATCATTTGGTCCAAATCATGCTAATGTCGCTGCGTCTTTACACAATCTTGGTTTGGTGTTTGATAAAACTGGAAATTACGACAAAGCTATAGAGTTTTACGAAAAAGCTCTGGAAATTCAAAAACAATCGTTAGGTCCAAATCATGTTGATGTCGCTGCGTCTTTACACAATCTTGGATTGGTGTTTGAAAAAACTGGAAACTACAATAGAGCTATAGAGGTTCACGAAAAGGCTCTGGAAATTCAAAAACAATCGTTAGGTCCAAATCATGCTAATGTCGCTGCGTCTTTAAACAATCTTGGTTTGGTGTTTTATGAAACTGGAAACTACAACAAAGCTATAGAGTTTTGCGAAAAAGCTCTGGAAATTCAAAAACAATCGTTAGGTCCAAATCATGTTGATGTCGCTACGTCTTTAAACAGTCTTGGCGTGGTGTTAAATAAAACTGGAAACTACAACAAAGCTATAGAGTTTTGCGAAAAAGCTCTGGAAATTCGAAAACAATTGTTTGGTCCAAATCATGTTGATATCGCAGCGTCTTTAAACAATCTTGGTACGGTGTTTCATAAAACTGGAAACTACAACAAAGCTATAGAGTCTCACGAAAAAGCTCTGGAAATTCGAAAACAATTGTTTGGTCCAAATCATGTTGATGTCGCTGCGTATTTATTCAATCTTGGTTTGGTGTTTGAAAAAACTGGAAATTACGACAAAGCTATAGAGTTTTACGAAAAAGCTCTGGAAATTCAAAAACAATCGTTAGGTCCAAATCACGTTGATGTCGCTGATTCTTTATACTATCTTGGTTTGGTGTTTTATGAAACTGGAAACTACAACAAAGCTATAGAGTTTTGCGAAAAAGCTCTGGAAATTCAAAAACAATCGTTAGGTCCAAATCATGTTCATGTCGCTACGTCTTTATACTATCTTGTTTTGGTGTTTTATGAAACTGGAAACTAAGACGAAGCTATAGAGTTTTGCGAAAAAGCTTTGGAAATTCAAAAACAATCGTTAGGTCCAAATCACGTTGATGTCGCTGATTCTTTATACTATCTTGGTTTGGTGTTTTGTGAAACTGGAAACTACAACAAAGCTATAGAGGTTGACGAAAGGGCTCTGGAAATTCGAAAACAATCGTTAGGTTCAACTCATGTTGATGTTGCTAGGTCGTTATACAATCTTGGTTTGGTGTTTGATAAAACTGGAAATTACGACAAAGCTATAGAGTTTTACGAAAAAGCTCTGGAAATTCAAAAACAATCGTTAGGTCCAAATCATGTTCATGTCGCTGCGACTTTAAACAATCTTGGTATTGTGCTTGAAAAAACTGAAAAGTACGACAAAGCTATAGAGGTTCACGAAAAGGCTCTGGAAATTCGAAAACAATCGTTAGGTCCAAATCATGTTGATGTCGCTGCGTCTTTACACAATCTTGGTTTGGTGTTTGATAAAACTGGAAATTACGACAAAGCTATAGAGTTTTACGAAAAGCTCTGGAAATTCAAAAACAATCGTTAGGTCCAAATCATGTTCATGTCGCTGCGACTTTAAACAATCTTGGTATTGTGCTTGAAAAAACTGAAAAGTACGACAAAGCTATAGAGGTTCACGAAAAGGCTCTGGAAATTCGAAAACAATCGTTTGGTCCAAATCATGTTGATGTCGCTGCGTCTTTACACAATCTTGGTTTGGTGTTTAAAAAAACTGGAAACTACAATAAAGCTATAGACGTTCACGAAAAGGCTCTGGAAATTCGAAAACAATCATTAGGTCCAAATCATGTTGATGTCGCTGCGTCTTTACACAATCTTGGTTTGGTGTTTGAAAAAACTGGAAATTACGAAAAAGCTATAGAGTTTTACGAAAAAGGACTGGAAATTCGAAAACAATCGTTAGGTCCAAATCATGCTAATGTCGCCGCGTCTTTTTACAATCTTGGTTTGGTGTTTGAAAAAACTGGAAATTACGAAAAAGCTATAGAGTTTTACGAAAAAGGACTGGAAATTCGAAAACAATTGTTTGGTCCAAATCATGTTGATGTCGCTGCGTCTTTATTCAATCTTGGTTTGGTGTTTGAAAAAACTGGAAATTACGACAAAGCTATAGAGTTTTACGAAAAAGCTCTGGAAATTCAAAAACAATCGTTAGGTCCAAATCACGTTGATGTCGCTGATTCTTTATACTATCTTGGTTTGGTGTTTTATGAAACTGGAAACTACAACAAAGCTATAGAGTTTTGCGAAAAAGCTCTGGAAATTCAAAAACAATCGTTAGGTCCAAATCATGTTCATGTCGCTACGTCTTTATACTATCTTGTTTTGGTGTTTTATGAAACTGGAAACTAAGACGAAGCTATAGAGTTTTGCGAAAAAGCTTTGGAAATTCAAAAACAATCGTTAGGTCCAAATCACGTTGATGTCGCTGATTCTTTATACTATCTTGGTTTGGTGTTTTGTGAAACTGGAAACTACAACAAAGCTATAGAGGTTGACGAAAGGGCTCTGGAAATTCGAAAACAATCGTTAGGTTCAACTCATGTTGATGTTGCTAGGTCGTTATACAATCTTGGTAGTGTGTATCATAATACTGGAAACTACGACAAAGCTATAGAGTTTTACGAAAAAGCTCTGGAAATTCAAAAACAAACGTTAGGTTCAAATCATGTTGTTGTTGCGAGCGCTTTACACAATCTTGGTAATGTGTATCATAATACTGGAAAGTACGACAAAGCTATAGAGTTTTACGAAAAAGGACTGGAAATTCGAAAACAATCGTTAGGTCCAAATCATGCTGATGTCGCTGCGTCTTTAAACAATCTTGGTACTGCGTATTATAAAACTGAAAATTACGACAAAGCTATAGAGGTTCATGAAAAAGCTCTGGAAATTCGAAAACAATCGTTAGGTCCAAATCATGCTAATGTCGCTGCGTCTTTACACAATCTTGGTTTGGTGTTTGATAAAACTGGAAATTACGACAAAGCTATAGAGTTTTACGAAAAGCTCTGGAAATTCAAAACAATCGTTAGGTCCAAATCATGTTCATGTCGCTGCGACTTTAAACAATCTTGGTATTGTGCTTGAAAAAACTGAAAAGTACGACAAAGCTATAGAGGTTCACGAAAAGGCTCTGGAAATTCGAAAACAATCGTTCGGTCCAAATCATGTTCATGTCGCTGCGTCTTTACACAATCTTGGTTTGGTGTTTAAAAAAACTGGAAACTACAATAAAGCTATAGAGGTTCACGAAAAGGCTCTGGAAATTCGAAAACAATCATTAGGTCCAAATCATGTTGATGTCGCTGCGTCTTTACACAATCTTGGTTTGGTGTTTGAAAACTGGAAATTACGAAAAGCTATAGAGTTTTACGAAAAGGACTGGAAATTCGAAAACAATCGTTAGGTCCAAATCATGCTAATGTCGCCGCGTCTTTTACAATCTTGGTTTGGTGTTTGAAAAAACTGGAAATTACGAAAAAGCTATAGAGTTTTACGAAAAAGGACTGGAAATTCGAAAACAATCATTAGGTCCAAATCATGCTAATGTCGCTGCGTCTTTACACAATCTTGGTTTGGTGTTTGATAAAACTGGAAATTACGACAAAGCTATAGAGTTTTACGAAAGAGCTCTGGAAATTCAAAAACAATCGTTAGGTCCAACTCATGTTGATGTCGCTTCGTCTTTAAACAGTTTTGGTGTGGTGTTACAAAAAACTGGAAACTACAACAAAGCTATAGAGTTTTACGAAAAAGCTCTGGAAATTCGAAAACAATCGTTAGGTCCATATCATGTTGATGTCGCTGCGTCTTTAAACAATCTTGGTGCGGTGTTTCATAAAACTGGAAACTACAACAAAGCTATAGAGTGTCACGAAAAAGCTCTGGAAATTCGAAAACAATTGTTTGGTCCAAATCATGTTGATGTCGCTTCGTCTTTATACAATCTTGGTTTGGTGTTTGAAAAAACTGGAAAATACAATAGAGCTATAGAGGTTCACGAAAAGGCTCTGGAAATTCAAAAACAATCGTTAGGTCCAAATCATGCTAATGTCGCTGCGTCTTTAAACAATCTTGGTTTGGTGTTTTATGAAACTGGAAACTAAGACGAAGCTATAGAGTTTTGCGAAAAAGCTTTGGAAATTCAAAAACAATCGTTAGGTCCAAATCATGTTGATGTCGCTACGTCTTTAAACAATCTTGGTGTGGTGTTTTATAAAAGTGGAAACTACGACAAAGCTATAGAGTTTTATGAAAAAGCTCTGGAAATTCAAAAACAATCGTTAGGTCCAAATCATGTTGATGTTGCTCGGTCTTTAAACAGTCTTGGTGCGGTGTTATATGAAACTGGAAACTAAGACGAAGCTATAGAGTTTTGCGAAAAAGCTTTGGAAATTCAAAAACAATCGTTAGGTCCAAATCACGTTGATGTCGCTGATTCTTTATACTATCTTGGTTTGGTGTTTTGTGAAACTGGAAACTACAACAAAGCTATAGAGGTTGACGAAAGGGCTCTGGAAATTCGAAAACAATCGTTAGGTTCAACTCATGTTGATGTTGCTAGGTCGTTATACAATCTTGGTAGTGTGTATCATAATACTGGAAACTACGACAAAGCTATAGAGTTTTACGAAAAAGCTCTGGAAATTCAAAAACAAACGTTAGGTTCAAATCATGTTGTTGTTGCGAGCGCTTTACACAATCTTGGTAATGTGTATCATAATACTGGAAAGTACGACAAAGCTATAGAGTTTTACGAAAAAGGACTGGAAATTCGAAAACAATCGTTAGGTCCAAATCATGCTGATGTCGCTGCTCTTTAAACAATCTTGGTACTGCGTATTATAAAACTGAAAATTACGACAAAGCTATAGAGGTTCATGAAAAAGCTCTGGAAATTCGAAAACAATCGTTAGGTCCAAATCATGCTAATGTCGCTGCGTCTTTACACAATCTTGGTTTGGTGTTTGATAAAACTGGAAATTACGACAAAGCTATAGAGTTTTACGAAAAAGCTCTGGAAATTCAAAAACAATCGTTAGGTCCAAATCATGTTCATGTCGCTGCGACTTTAAACAATCTTGGTATTGTGCTTGAAAAAACTGAAAAGTACGACAAAGCTATAGAGGTTCACAAAAAGGCTCTGGAAATTCGAAAACAATCGTTCGGTCCAAATCATGTTGATGTCGCTGCGTCTTTACACAATCTTGGTTTGGTGTTTGATAAAACTGGAAATTACGACAAAGCTATAGAGTTTTACGAAAAAGCTCTGGAAATTCAAAAACAATCGTTAGGTCCAAATCACGTTGATGTCGCTGATTCTTTATACTATCTTGGTTTGGTGTTTTATGAAACTGGAAATTACGACAAAGCTATAGAGTTTTACGAAAAAGCTCTGGAAATTCAAAAACAATCGTTAGGTCCAAATCACGTTGATGTCGCTGCGTCTTTACACAATCTTGGTTTGGTGTTTGATAAAACTGGAAATTACGACAAAGCTATAGAGTTTTACGAAAAAGCTCTGGAAATTCAAAAACAATCGTTAGGTCCAAATCATGTTCATGTCGCTGCGACTTTAAACAATCTTGGTATTGTGCTTGAAAAAACTGAAAAGTACGACAAAGCTATAGAGGTTCACGAAAAGGCTCTGGAAATTCGAAAACAATCGTTCGGTCCAAATCATGTTCATGTCGCTGCGTCTTTACACAATCTTGGTTTGGTGTTTAAAAAAACTGGAAACTACAATAAAGCTATAGAGGTTCACGAAAAGGCTCTGGAAATTCGAAAACAATCATTAGGTCCAAATCATGTTGATGTCGCTGCGTCTTTACACAATCTTGGTTTGGTGTTTGAAAAAACTGGAAATTACGAAAAAGCTATAGAGTTTTACGAAAAGGACTGGAAATTCGAAAACAATCGTTAGGTCCAAATCATGCTAATGTCGCCGCGTCTTTTTACAATCTTGGTTTGGTGTTTGAAAAAACTGGAAATTACGAAAAAGCTATAGAGTTTTACGAAAAAGGACTGGAAATTCGAAAACAATCATTTGGTCCAAATCATGCTAATGTCGCTGCGTCTTTACACAATCTTGGTTTGGTGTTTGATAAAACTGGAAATTACGACAAAGCTATAGAGTTTTACGAAAAAGCTCTGGAAATTCAAAAACAATCGTTAGGTCCAAATCATGTTGATGTCGCTGCGTCTTTACACAATCTTGGATTGGTGTTTGAAAAAACTGGAAACTACAATAAAGCTATAGAGGTTCACGAAAAAGCTCTGGAAATTCGAAAACAATCGTTAGGTCCAAATCATGTTGATGTCGCTGCGTCTTTACACAATCTTGGTTTGGTGTTTGATAAAACGGGAAATTACGACAAAGCTATAGAGTTTTACGAAAAAGCTCTGGAAATTCAAAAACAATCGTTAGGTCCAAATAATGTTGATGTCGCTGCGTCTTTAAACAATCTTGGTATTGTGCTTGAAAAAACTGAAAAGTACGACAAAGCTATAGAGGCTCACGAAAAAGCTCTGGAAATTCAAAAACAATCGTTAGGTCCAAATCATGTTAGAGTCGCTGCGTCTTTACCCAATCTTGGTTTGGTGTTTGAAAAAACTGGAAACTACGACAAAGCTATAGAGGTTCACGAAAAGGCTCTGGAAATTCGAAAACAATCGTCAGCTCCAACTCATGTTGATGTTGCTAGGTCTATAAAATCTTGGTGATGTGTATTCTGAAACTGGAAACTACGACAAAGCTATAGAGTTTTACGAAAAAGCTCTGGAAGTTATAAACAATCGTTAGGTCCAATTGCTGTTGATGTCGCTTCATATGTAAACAATCTTGGTACTGTGAATTATAAAACTGGAAAGTACGGGAAAGCTACAGACTTTTGCGAAAAAGCTCTGGAAATTCTAAAACAACCGTTAGGTCCAAATCATGTTGATGTCGCTGCGTCTTTACACAATCTTGGTTTGGTGTTTGAAAAAACTGGAAACTACGACAAAGCTATAGAGGTTCACGAAAAGGCTCTGGAAATTCAAAAAAATCGTTAGGTCCAACTCATGTTGATGTCGCTTGGTCTTTAAACAATCTTGGTTCGGTGTATTATAAAACTGGAAACTACGACAAAGCTATAGAGTTTTACAAAAAAGCTCTGGAAATTCGAAAACACTCGTTAGGTCCAAATCATGTTAGAGTGGCTGCGTCTTTTAACAATCTTGTTTTGGTATATTATGAAACTGGAAATTACGACAAAGCTATAGAGTTTTACAAAAAAGCTCTCGAAATTCGAAAACAATTGTTAGGTCCAAATCATGTTGATGTCGCTTAGTCTTTAAACAATCCTTGTTCGGTGTATTATGAAACTGGAAACTACGACAAAGCTGTAGAGTCTTACAAAAAAGCTTTGGAAATTCGAAAACAATCGTTAGGTCCAAATCATGTTGATGTCGCTGGGTCTTTAAACGATCTTGGTTCGGTGTGTTATAAAACTGGAAATTACGACAAAGCTATAGAGTTTTACGAAAAAGCTCTGGAAATTCGAAAACAATCGTTAGGTCCAAATCATTAAAGAGTGGCTGCGTCTTTAAACAATCTTGGTTTGGTGTATTATGAAACTGGAAACTACGACAAAGCTATAGAGTTTTACGAAAAAGCTCTGGAAATTCGAAAACAATCGTTAGGTTCAAATCGTGTTAGAGTGACTGCGTCTTTAAACAATCTTTGTTTGGTGTATTATGAAACTGGAAATTACGACAAAGCTATAGAATTTTACGAAAAAGCTCTAGAAATTCGAAAAAAATCGTTAGGTCCAAATCATGTTGATGTCGCTGGGTCTTTAAACAATCTTGGTAATGTGTTTGAAAAAACTGGAAACTACGACAAAGCTATAGAGCTTCACGAAAAAGCTTTGGAAATTCGAAAACAATAGTTAGGTCCAAATCATGTTGATGTCGCTGCGTCTTTAAAAAATCTTGGTGTGGTGTTTAACAAAACTGGAAAATACGACAAAGCTAAAGAAATTCACGAAAAAGCATTGGAAATTCGAAAACAATCGCTACGTCCAAATCATGTTGTTGTCGCTGCGTCTTTAAACAATCTTGGTAATGTGTTTAAAAAAACTTGAAGCTACGACAAAGCTTTAGAGTTTTACGAAAAAGCTCTGGAAATTAAAAAAGAATCGTCAGGTTCAAATCATGTTGATGTTGCTAGGTCTTTAAACAATCTTGGTAATGTGCTTGAAAAAACAGGAAACTACGACGAAGCTATAGAAGTTCACGAAAAAGCTCTGGAAATTCGCAAAAAAACGTTTGAAACTAGTCAGGTTAATATCGCTAAGTCGTTTAAACAATCTAGATGTGATGTATTATGAAACTCGGGAATATGATAAAGCTTTAAAGTTACACTTTGGTAGCTACGTGTTTCAAAGAAAATTGTACCTTCCAAATTATGTTAATCCTATTTTTAACACATAGACCGTAGGAGCAAGGCTTCCACCTGCCAAGTCAACTTCCCTCTCTCTCAGAAGGTATTTTTGGTACTGAACAAAACGTTTGCAGTATGCATTTTCTTATGTAAAATGAACCTAAAGATGTAATGGTCCTTGTCTATGTATAGTTTCACTGATATCTAGTCAATAAACTTACTCTACAGCCCAGGAATCATCCTAAGAAGAACTTAAAACTGCCCATGCTCTGAATCTGACATTCTCCTTTAGACTTTATTTCTAAAGTAAATTGTTTTTATGTTATAACCACGTAGTAGTTTTTATTGTATGATTCACAAACATGCTTAAGTATATTTGGATGACAATATTTTATGACATTAATTTTGTCAAATAAATACTATCCTGTTAATTTTTCATATTCTTTGATACATTCAGTAATTTTTTACCCAGCTCCATAAGCCTATGACCATATTCCAGGTTCTTACAATTTCCAAGGGGTACACCTTTTATACCATACTATCACCCCACCATGCTGCAGCCAATATTGCTGTACTCTCACTATTTCCACCATGAAACATAGAACAAGAACACAATTGAAACCAGGAATCTTCTGCCATCATCAAAGCATCGTAAGCAATCATTGGTGCATCATAACCACTGGATCCACCCCAACCTGCATAACTCACTGATTTATGAAAAGCATCATGTTCAGGTATGGTATATGTCACTGGAAACTGATTCACTGGTTCCATTCATTACTCCCTGTAGTTCAAGCTTTTATTGTCTTCTTTTTGATAAAAAACTGAAAAGTCCAATTTGAACCACTTTTTGCAAGTACCTTTTTTAAAGCATAGGATATAAATTAAGGTGCAGTAATAGCCCCCAGACAAACTGACGACAAAATAATTATCTTTAAAAGTTGTTTATTTCACAACTCTCACATTATGATGAACTATTTACATAATAGCAACATTATGACACAGATTATGACAGCTGTAAACATAATCTAACATAATGAACAACATAATGAACTTTGACTCTGAAGATGACTACCGCTAAGGTTGTCGAAACGTCAGTCAACAACAACAAAAACAGTCCTTCTCAGGACTTTATTAACCTGGACGATCATCATTTACAAACATATAACGATACTCCCGGGTTCAAACCATTTACTTTATTGGCTATTAGTTGTTAAAGCAATTTTCCATTGAATCATTTCTTCTTACTGTCATGATATTGAATATTAACTCATGTTTGCAAAAAGAAATAATGAATGAACGTTTACCTAAATCTTATAACGTTTAGTTGCTCTGAAATTTAATAAATTTGGCAGCCAAAATTACAACACTGTAATGGTTACATAAGTAAGATTAATTGCCGATTTCAGTTAACTTTTCAAATGGTGGTTGCCAAGTTATTTTCTAATGTTGCCAGTTACATTTCCAAATATGGAATATTCGATATGAACTTGTCAACATGAGTTGACAAGTTGTGTACTTGAGTACTGAAGTTGTGTACTTGAGTACTGAAGTTGTGAACTAAAGTTGCGAAGTACTGGCAAACGCGAAAGGTTTTTGTACCCTGTAGACATTTGGCAATGAATCCGTTCATTAAGCAAGGAAAAACTTTACCAATAGAGGTAAAAAATGAAATACTTGAAATATGGTTAAATAGCGAGCGTTTGAAAAACATTTCGAAACAAGTAAATCCACCGTGTAAGACTATATCTAATATAATAGATCACTGGTCTATTGCACCTCGCCAGAGCGAACGTGATGTTCGAACCACGCGTACAGATGACGTTATTGCATACACTGAATATCTAAAAATTAATAAACCATCTATTTACGCAAAAGAGTTTCAGCAATACCTAGAAAATAACAAAGTTTGCCTTCCAGCAAACATACCTAGCAGGTCATCCATTAGTAGAATTTTGAATAAAGATCTTGGTTACTCTTACAAGATAATAGGTAAAATTACTCGAGAGACAGAACGCCGGACGTTATGGAGAAGTTAGAAGCTTACGTAGCAAATATTTCATTGATTGATTGCAACCGTATGCATTTCTTTGACGAGTCGTCTGTAGTTGTTACGAGTGGCAACAGACGTCGAGGGCACAGTATGCAGGGTACTCCTGCATTTAAAATCCAACGATACTCTTCTTGTGCCACATTTACTGTGAATTTATTACATAATGTAAACCGCGTATCGCATTATGACATTCTTAGAGGGCCGTCAAACGGATTAGAATTGCTAAAGCTTTTCCTTGCTTACTGAACAGATTTATTGCCAAATGTCTACAGGGTACAAAGACCTTTCGCGTTTGCCAGTACTTCGCAACTTTAGTTCACAATTCAGTACTCAAGTACACAATTTCAGTACTCAAGTTGACAAGTTCATATCGAATATTCCATATTTGGAAATGTAACTGGCAACTTTAGAAAGTAACTTTGGCAACCGCCATTTGAAATGTTAACTGAAATCGACAATAAGTCACAAAATAGCTAAAAAGATTGTGAACTTCGATCGTGACTAAAACACCTCACGAGTACATACGAGTACATACGAGTACATACAAGTGACATACAACTATATAGTGGTCACAAATGAAAAATAGCACAATTCTTCAATAATACATAGATATTTGCATTCACTTTTGCTTGTATTTGTCTGGACTCTGGGGCGACCATTTGATAGATTTAAATGCTGAAAAGGTAATTTATTCGAACATTCATTTGTATGTTTCAGTTAAATTTGGTTCTTTTGTGCGCAATGTCTTAATCTATTAAACGGTTTAAATCTATTAACAATGGTAGTTTTGCGCTGGATTTGCCATAAAGTAAACTCCCGTACAAAAAATATTGAGCAGTTACTCTGAGAACTATTAGCGCATGTTTACACTATTTGTATTCTTATATTAATATATTAACAAGTTAAAAATCTTGGACAAAAATAACAATTAGATGTACTTGTAATATAATTAATTAATGTGGATTTGCTCCTCAAATGTGCATTCATTTTATTTATTCTACCAAAGAAATATGAGGTAGTTTAGTAAGGAATCATTCAGATTGCACATTAGCTCACATCCAGCCTCTTTTTTAAAATTTATAAATAATTTAAGTCTTTAAGATACTGATTTTGCTGCTCAAAGACTGAATTACATCAGCTAGAACTTTAAAAACATTAAAAGTAATCAGAAATCGTACGCATAATATGACACATATACGTAACACAGTGCAACTGTCATTTAATTCAAATATATATAATGTACATTTATTTCATATAGCACGTTTTCAAGGCATTATTTATACGTTGTATATTTAATCGCTTTCATAAATATAGTGTGTCAAAAAGCGCTAAAATACTGGCAAATCACATCGACAAAATACGTATAACAAATTCAACTGAAACATACAAATGAATGTAGTATGAAAGTAAAATACCTTTTCAGCATTTAAATCCATCAAATGGTCGCCCCAGAGTCAAGACAAATACAAGAAAAATTGAACGCAAATATCAATGTATTATTGAAGAAATTGTGTTATTCCTCATTTGTGACAAGTATATAGTCACATACGACTGTATGTCATTCGTACGTACTTATATGTCAGTCGTATGTACTTGTATGTCAGTCATATGTACTTGTATGTACTCGTTTGTACTTGTATGTCAGTCGTATGTACTTGTATGTCACTCGTATGTACTTGTATGTCACTCGTATGTACTTGTATGTCACTCGTATGTACTTGTATGTCACTCGTATGTACTTGTATGTACTTGTATGTACTCGTGTGGTGTTTTAGTCACGATCGTGAACTTCTTCCAAGGTACCTTAGAATTTG